GTGGCCAGATTATTATGCGTTCAGAGATCACAATAATCTTGCCATTCAGTGTATATCTCAAAAAATATTAGGCACAATAGGTAATGATTAAGTCTAAGAGGTGCCAGGGTCAGGGAGTATACATTCAAGGAAGTGATTGTCAAATCAGCAAGGATTTTATTATTATTTTTTTTAGGTGGAATTGCTTTTATTGGGGTGGGCACCGTAGGCCTGCCTGTGGTCAGGTTAGTGTTCTGCCCAGTGCAGCCAGAAGCCTGGAACCTTCACCCCACCGCCCACCCGGGTTAGTGGAACATGCAAAACTCAGTCAGAGGGTGGAGGTGGGGGGATAGGGGGAGCCCCCCAAGGCCAAGGCTGGAGGGGTAGGCCAGGAGGGGTGGGCCGGGCTGGGCTGCTGAGTCAGCTCAGACAGTCCATCCAGTGTCCCTAGACCCCATGCAGGGCTGAGCTCTGGAGAGATGGTCTCGTGGGCAGGACCCTAGGCAGGACTTGAGGCCCCAAGCAAGGATATTTTTATTAGTTGCAAGATACTCAACATCTTTCCTGCTGGGTATCTTCAAATCAGCATAGCCACTGAACTTGCATGTCCTGAAGGCACCTGGATCCCAACTAGCCCCCAAATGACCTCCTGAGCATATGGCTGAACCCATGCCTTTTCTTGCTTCACCTGAAAGGGAGGCACACTCTGCTGTCAGACCTATACCACACTAGCTGGGAGTGACAGGATACCCTGTATTTGCCCCTCTCCCAATGTTACATGTGTCTGTGTGCATGTGAGTGCATGTTGTGTCAGGGACACTCACATTAGACTTGTCTTAAGTGGGAACTGGACCAAGGCAGTCATCAAAAAGGGGTGAGGGCCCGGCCAGCATGGCTCAGTGGTTGGGTATAATCAGGAGGTCACTGTTCCATTGCAGGTCAGGGCACATGCTCAATCCCCAATGTGGGGCATATGGGAGGCAGCGGATCAATGACTCTTTCTCATCATTGATGATTCTATATCTCTCTCCCTCTCCCTTCCTCTCTGAAATCAATAAAGATATACACTGAGTGGTCAGATTATTATGACCCCTGAATGCATAATAATCTGGCCACTCAGTGTATATCCTATATAATAAAAGGCTAATATGCAATTGTCTTCTCAACCAGGATTTCGACCAGCAAGCAGGCTGTCTAACAGCCCATGTCCCTTCCCCCTGGCCAAGCTGGCCAGACCCCACCCATGCACGAATTCATGCACCAGGCCTCTAATATACAATACCTATACCTATACCTATATCTACCGTGTTTCCCCGAAAATAAGACATCCTCCAAAATAAGACCTAGCGCATGGAAAGATAAGACATCCCCTGAAAATAAGATCTAGCGCAACTTTGGGAGAAAAAAATAATATAAGACACTGTCTTATTTTCGGGAAAACAGGGTCTATATCTATGTCTATGTCTATGTCTATGTCTATGTCTATGTCTATGTCTATGTCTATATCTATATTTATCTATATATACTGAGTGGCCAGATTATTATGTGTTCGGAGATCATAATAATCTGGCCATTCAGTGTATGGTAGGGGAAAAAATTTAAATGGCATCTGAGCTGTGACTTAAAGGAACAGTGAAGGTTAGATAAAAGGCAAAGAAAATGGGAGAGTGCATTCCAAGCAAGGGAACTGTTTGGGCAAAGAAGACCTCAGGACCTTTACCTTTTAAAACTCTTTACTATGGAAATGATACATCTCTAATCAAGGAGAGAAAAATAGCACTTAAATACACACCTAACCTTCACCCAGCTTCCACATTTGGCAAGATTTTACTTGTTTATTTTGAAAGAAGACAAGTAGCTAGGGGTGACAGCAGTGGGAGCTATTAATAATAAAAGAAGTACCCACTTAAGCTTGTCCAATAGAGGGGTGCCCACGCACCCTTTGTAAGGGCATCATATGGCCCAGCAGCACAGGGCCCACATGGGACTCCAGTGGGGTTTTGGTCGCTGTCTGTCTCTCTCTAACTCTCTCTCTCTCTCCATAGCCATATGGAATCAATTTACTGATCACCGCCTTCCCTGGGATCCACCTGGAGTCGCCATTTAAGTTTCTGGTAAACCTCCTCAGGGAGTCAGCCCCCCAAACCTTCCAGGCTGCAGCCCCTCCAGCCCCCAACTCCGAGGGCACCGAAGGAAGTGCGCCCTGAGGGTGAGGGAGTGACATGGAAGGACCCAGTACCCCATCAGCTCATCATGCTTGGTTCCATTGATCCGAGAGCCTGTATGCCAGGCGCTGCCCAGGCCTCGCTTCCCATGCTTTGTCCACGAATCCTCACCACACTCCCAGATGGGGGATAGCATTGCCCATTGGATAGCAACATGAGCCTGTCTTTGGCACAGCACCCATAGCACTGACTGTGCCCAGGATCTGCTGGTGTGCAAGCTCCTGGACAGAGCCTCCAGGGCAGCAGTTGCCAGCCAGTGGTCTGCCAACCACTAGTGGTCTGTGAGCTCTGAAAGGTGGGTGACCACTAGCTTAAGGAAACCTTTGGAGCAGCGGTCACAAACCACTGATCCATGGACCAATAGTGGTCCCTGAGGTCTGAAAGGTGGGCGACCGCTGCTCTAGGGGATCCTTCTGACCAAAAACCAAGCAGGGCTGGCACTAAGAAAAGTGATCTACATGCTTCCTGTCCTCCCAGATCTGGCACTGCCATTGAGGAGTGCCCCCCGGTGGGTCTGGGGCCTCTTTGCTGTGGAAGATGGGCCATCGCTTAGGCACAGTGAGGTGGGTAGGAGGAGCTGCAAAAGGAGGAGACAGGCAAGGCTGGAAATAGCTGATGCCCTCAGGGTTTTCTGTGTCAGTAAGGACTGCTTTTGGGGCTTACACTACCAGGAAATGTATTGTTGACTGAATGTGCAGTCCAGAGGGAGAGGGTCATCATGCTGGCTTACTTGTCCAAGGAAGGGTCATCAAGGACCCAGTCCCCCCATTCCTGACCCTTTTAGCAGAATGAGGGTGTTTCTGGGTTTGGTGTTGGGACAAGTCCCTCCTTCCTGGGACTAGCTGGTAACAATTGTGTTAAAGAAAGTTGTTTCAGTGCCTAATCCCTCAGGCTAATATGTGAGCTCCTTGAGGGCAGGGTCTGTGTTGCTTTTCGTAGCCCCAGTGCTATGCCCAGTGCCTGTTACACACAAGGTGCCCAATCATTCATTCATTTGTTTTTAAAATAATTTTTTATTTATTTCAGAGAGGCAGGGGAGGAAGAGAGAGACAGAAAGATCAATGATTACCCAGGACCAAACCAGAGAGGGTCGGACCTGCATTGCCACCATTTGTCCACCATCCAGAACTGAAATATCATTGCTGACATGTACACATAAGGAACTGTTTGACATTGAAATTGGGACTCAAAAGAACTGTTGGCCCAGAAAGAAACTCATACAGACTGATTCATTTGCCTCTCAGCATAACCATTATGGCTCGTCTCATTTTTGGTTCTTATGAATGTATTTCTTGTATCACATGATCAAACTCATCTAGGGGAAATAATGAACAACATAAACTGATTAACAAAAACAGACCCGGAGACAGGGAAGCATGGATCAAACTGTCGAACCTCAGAGGGAAGGTAGGGGAGGGTGGGGGGAAAGGGAGAGAGATCATCCAAAGGACTTGTGTGCATGCATATAAGCCTAACCAGTGGTAATGGAAAACAGGGGGGTGGGGGCATGCATGCGGAGGGCGTTGGGATGGGAATAGGGAGATGAGGACAAATATGTGATACCTTAATCAATAAAGAAATTAAAAAAGATCAATAATTAGAAAGAACCATTAATTGACTGCCTCCTGAATGCCCCATCCAGGGGATCGAGCCTGCAACCCAGACATGTTCCCTGACCCGGAATCAAACCATGACCTCCAGGTTCACAGGTCGATGCTCAGCCACTGAGCCACACCAGCTAGGCCATTCATTCATTCATTCATTCAACCATTCTTCCTTGCTAAGTGCTATGATGGAGCAGAATCCAGGGACCCATGGCACACAGCCCAGCCTGTGGGGTGGAAGTGGGGTCAGCAAACACTCTCTTGAGATCTTTACATCTGACAGGAATCCCTGAACACAGAGGCCTCGGCTCAGCAGGGTTGAAGGCTTTCATTCATTAGCAACCAGGGTGGAAGGTAAGCCACAGCTCATGGGACTCACAGTTAGATTACAGCTCACTGAGTACCTGTTACGTGACAGGTCTCTGGTAACAGAGATTAATCATACCTCTTACCTGCAATGCCCCGGGCCAGTCAGGGACAAATCATGTCAGCGCTGGGTGAGGAGTAAGCACTGCGGCCATGGTGGGAGGCACTCACTCCCCAAGCAGGGCAGGGCAGGAAGGAGGAAGGGCAGTGTGCACAGGCCACCAGGAGCAGGTGGCCCTTTAAGCAGTGCAAGGAGGAGGAGTCACCTGGCCCAGAGGCTGGACGGGTGCACAGTGAGGGAAATGCCTTCGTGAGGACGGTGAGCTGAGGGGGCAGAGCAGGTCACAGGCCCCCGGGGCTGCTGCTGTTTGGTTTGCACTGTTTATCTCCAGAATCGCTACGTCGTTTTGTGGTGATGCAGGTTCAGTTTCTGGGAGGCTCTGCCTGTCCACTTCTTCACTCTGCCCGGTTTGGGCCTGGGAGCTCCTTGAATGGACCCTCGCTAACTCCTTGTCCGGAGAAGTGATGCCCTGATGTTTTGTTTGGGCATCTCATGACCTTCTTTCTGTCGATGTCCATGCCTCTGCCAGGTCCCGGATGATGAACATAATTGTCCAAAAGGGGCACCCCCAGAACTGCCTTGTTTTGGAAACCTGAGGATTCGTTCCCTCTCTGTGACCACAGAAAGGGTGTGGTGAGGTTCAAGTGCACGCAGAACCATGGAGCAGCCCTCAGAGGGGGAGCGGAGTCACAAGGTGGGCAGTGAGATGGCCCACTGGGTTCTCATAAGGGGCCAGGGGAGTCCTGGTGGACTCCACTCTGCCCTTCACCTGGCTTTAGGCTGCCTCCTCACCTGGCTAGAGCTCTCCAGGAGTCTCCCGAGGGCACCCTGGACTTCCTTGTTCCTGAGGCTGTAGATCATGGGGTAGAGCATGGGGGTCACATTGGTGTAGATTAAGGACACGACCTTGTCCTGTTCCGGGGTGTAGCATGACTTGGGGCGGATGTAGATGAATATCGCACAGCCATAGTGCAGAAGAGAGACCAGCAGGTGGCCGGCACAGGTGGAGAAGGCCTTGCTCCTGCCCTGGACTGAGTGGATGCTGAGGATGGCGGTGATGATGAATCCGTAGGAGAGCAGTATCAGTAAGAAGGGAATCAGCAGGATGAGCATGCAGACCACGAAGACTGCAATCTCATTGGCTCGTGTGTCCGAGCAGGCCAGGAAGAGCACAGCTGGGATGTCACAGAAGAAATGATTGATCTCATGGGACTGACAGAAGGGCAAGAGGAATATCAGTGTGGTGAGCGTGAGTGAGAGTGCGAAGCCACCGACGCACGCCAGAGCCAGCATCTGCAGGCAGAGGGCCCTGGTGATGATGAGTGGGTAGCGCAGGGGCCTGCAGATGGCCACGAAGCGGTCATAGGCCATCACAGCCAGGAGGAAGCACTCTGCTCCCCCCAGAGCGATGAAGAGGTGCATCTGCAACGCGCAGCCCAGCATGGGCATCCGCTGGCTGCGGGACAGGAAGTTAGCCAGCATGTTGGGGACAATGACCAATATGTAGCAAATTTCAATGGTGGACAGATTGCGAAGAAAGAAATACATGGGGATCTGGAGGCAGGAGTCAATGAGGGTGATGAGCACAATGGTTCCGTGGCCGGCTAGGGTGACAAGATGCATGATTAAAAAGAGTCCAAAAAAGAAGATTTTCAGTTCAGCCAGATCCCCAAAGCCCAAGATGATAAACTCTGAGCTCAAGGTGTGGTTTTTCTGCAGTGAGGCCATCCTGTATTCCCTGTAGAAATCCTGGGCTGGAAAAGGCAGTTTTCTAGCAATTTTCTAAATTGTGGGAGACTCTACAGCCCTTTCCACAAATGGGAGTGTAGCCACCTCTCCAGTGCCTCCAACCCACTTTGCCAGGCTTGGCTCTGGTCTAAGTTCATGAGCTTCTTACGTTCTGCTCTCAGCTCACTGACAATAAAGAACTCCTTTTGTGATGTCACTTGAGTTCACCTGTTGAATTAATTAAAAAATGCACTGGGATAAGTAAAGTCCACACTTGGAGTTGTTTTTCATAGACCCTAATGATAGTCTTTCTGTTTATATTTTGAAGTTGTCTGGGTAGGGAGCTGCTGAGGTTGATGTTATTAAATAGGTTTAAATAGGAGAGACTGGCCCGAATTCCTGTAGGATAAAAGGTCTGGCAGGTTGATATTAAACACACTTTTGACTTTGTGCATTGACTATATTGTCCCTTCTTTACCACCCCCATCCTGCAATTTCCCAGGACGCCTGTTTCAGAAGCGCTGTGAACACAATGCCCAGAGAGGAAGTGTAACCACCAATAGTTGCTGCTTCTCAGTTGCAGGGCGGCCCCAGCTTATGTGTCATCTCCTTCCAGACACCTGCCCTGACGCCTAAACTGAGTTAGTCCCTCCTTTAGATATAACAGCACTTCAGGCTTCCCCAACCCAATTACTCACGATTGAGTCCTGTAATTCTTTGATCATTTGTCTGTCCACCTCAGCAGCCTGGAAGCTCTGCAATGAACAGAATGGTGTCTCATTCAACTTCTCAAATAGTGTGGCACACATCAGAAGCATTGATAATGCTTATTGAATAAATAGATGCATCTTGCTTTTTTTCTGCATCCTCTAGATTTATAGTACATCATCAGGCATTGAGGAGGTGACTAGCAGATATGCTTGAATAAATGGCTGAGTAAAAGCAGGTAATCTGCCAAAACTGGTTTGGCTCAGTGGATAGAGCATTGGCCTGCAGACTGAAGGGTCCCAGGTTCGATTCCGGTCAAGGGCATGTACCTTGGTTGCGGGCATATCCCCAGTAGGGGGTATGCAGGAAGCAGCTGATCGATGTTTCTGACTCTCTGTCCCACTCCCTTCCTCTCTGTAAAATAAATAAATAAATAAATAAATAAATAAGCAGGTAATCTTTCACATAATAGGAATGGCTGAGATCATGATCCTCCAGGGAAGGTGTGGAGTGAGAAGAGCAGAGGCCAGGGTGGGCCAGGTCAGACAGAGGGTGGGAGTGGATAGGACAGAGCTAAGTGAGAGTCAGGGTGGAAATAAGAACTCTCAGGACCATGGGGCATGAGTGCCTGGCAGCACAGAGACTTCAAATGCTCTGTGTCTAGAGTGTGGGAGCAAGGGGATAAGGCCAGGCAGCTTTCCTGGACTATGGGGACATGATCACTTCTCCCCTTGGCAGGATCCAAGTTATAATAAAAAGCCTTATGTTTAGCCTTCAGTTTCTTCCTGTGTGACCCTCCCTCCCAGCAGAAGAGAGAACAAGATTTCTAAAGATTCTAGAGAGCTAACAAATCTAAAATTAATAGAAGGTAAGGGTCCCGTGGAAGTGGAGTTGTCACCTAAAGCACAGAAACTCACTTAGGGACATACAATTTCTCCCAGGGCTCCTGAGATTCAAACTGGGCTCGGCAAAACCTGAAAACCCACTCTGATGACAGACTCAGCCTATTGTTGTGATTCCAATTTTGCAGCCACTTGCATGGTTCACTGCATTTTGGTTTCTATTGAGCTAATGGGCACCTCGAGTCTTTGAGCTGGACGGGTCTCCAGAGGGCAACCTGTCCACTCCCCCTTTCAGAACAGCTGGTCATGAATTCTTCTTCCCCATCAATGGCCCTGTCCAGGAATCACACACCCCAGCCTGAATCCCCTCCTCCACCACCTACCCGGCTCTCAGCTTCTTGCTTGTTCTGTGATAACTGTCTATGGGTGAGAGTGTTCTTTCTGGGTTGGTATTTATCTTCCTTGGATTGGCCCCTTGGTTTTAGCTTTGCCACACCAACTCACTTCCACTCCTTTTGCCATGAAAGAATGTAGAGACTTCTTGTTTGATTTGGGCCCTAAACCTTGAAAATATTGAGAAACACAGAAATGGAATTGAAAGTCACACATGATCTAAACACTTAAAAGGGAGAAGTTAAAGACAATGTGAAAGTTGCTGCTCCTTCAATGACGCTTCCCACTCTCCCAGACATTCTTAGCCGTGAGGTTCAGTTGCTTCCCTGGTTTGTCCTGTGCATATAAACACACAAACCTCACACATGCACACCCTCACACACATGTACACACACACACACACCACACACACAGATATGCACACACAAATACACACACACACAGATGCACATCCACACACTCACACATGTACACATATACACAAACCCAAACATGCTCATACATATACACACATATACATATAGGCACACACAATACACAATGCACATATGAAAGCATACACACTCATATATACGCATATTCACACACTCACAAGTATCTATATACATAAACATTCACTACACTCACACATTACAAAGATAAAATGAGATTATAGTGTACACACCTATTGTCTTTAGTGTTTTGACCTAATATGTCTGGGAGAGATTTTCAGCCAGTACATATTGGTTTACTGCATTCTTTTTAGCTGCAGCATTCTACCGTATGGATGCATTATAAGGTAATTAATTATAATTTAAATAATAAAAACATAATAACAAATCAAGTCTATAAAGAAAAGTAGATAGAAAGTCAAAATAAATGACAACTTAATCAGTTTTTTACGTCTTTGGCATTGAAGAGATTTTTAGCTATTTATCACACTCCGTGTTACAATGTACATCCTCACAGAGAGTGTGGGCCAACTGGCAGTCTGGGAATATGACCGGTGTGTCCTCCTTGTTCTTGTTGCCTGCCCCTTGAACGCCCTGGATAACAGAGTTGGTGTTACCTGGAAGGGGCAGATCAGTGCGTGAAGTGCAAATCCAGGGAGAAGCCCTGTCAGGGATTCTTCTGTCACCATCTGCGGTTAGTGAGAAGTGCAAGAAGGAGAGCAGCGGTGGGGTGAGTGGCCTGGACCTGGCGGCAGATTCCCAGAGCCCAGAAGGCGGCTTTCCCGCATGTCTGGACCACAGGGAGCAGCCCTCAGAAGTATTAGGAAGGGAGTGTCCTTAGAGGAGGTGCTGCACTCTGTCACTCACGTAAAGTAGAAGTGAAGGCAGGCCTCCAGAAGTCCTAAGGGAGAGGCCAGGAAGGAGGCCATCCCTGTGGTCCACCCCACCGAGGGGAGTGCTTTCCCCAGGTCACAGTGCAAACCCAATTACTTACATTCCCTTTGCCAAAGATAGAGTACAAATGAAACTAGACCACCTTCTTGCATCATAAAGAAACTCAAAATGGATTAGAGACTGGAATGCAAGACCCAAAATCCTAAAACCCCTACAAGAAAACATAGGCAGCAAACTATCTGAATTGCTCTTAATAATATATTTTCTTATATATCTCCTCAGACAAAGGAAACAAACAACAAACAAACAAACAAACCCAAAACAACAACAACAAACAAACAAAGAAAGCAAACGGGACTACATCAAACTAAAAAGTTTATGTACAGCAAAGGAAACCATCAACAAAAGGCAAATATACCCTTGTGATTGGGAGAACAGATTCACCAAAGATACATCCAATGAGAGGTTAATATCCAACATTCATAAGAAACTCATATGTTATAATTTATAATTAACACCCCCACAAACAATCCAATTTTTTTAAAAAAGGCAAAGGACCTGAATAGTCACTTTTTCAAAGAGGGTAAACAGATGACCAATAGGCATATGAAAAGATGCTCAATATCAGTAATCACCAGTGAACTGCAAATTAAAACCTCACACCTGCCCTAGCCGGTTTTGCTCAGTGGAGAGACCATTGGCCTGTGGACTGAAGGGTCCCGGATTCGATTCTGGTCAAGTGCACATGCCTGGGTTGTGGGCTTGATCCCCAGTAGGGAGTGTGTAGGAGGCAGCTGATCAATGATTCCCGGTCATCACTGATGTTTCTATCTCTCTCTCCCTCTCTCTTCCTCTCTGAAATCAATAAAAATATACCTCACACCCGTTAGAGTGTCTATCATCAATAAATCAACAAGCCAAAACTGGTTTGGCTCAGTGAATAGAGTGTCGGCCTGTGGACTGAGGGGTCCCAGGTTCGATTCCGGTCAGGGGCATGTACTTTGGTTGCGGGCACATCCCCAGAAGGGGGTGTGCAGGAGGCGGCTGATTGATGATTCTCTCTCATCGATGTTTCTGATTCTCTATTCCTCTCTGTAAAAAAATCAATAAAATATATTTAAAATCAATCAATCAATCAATCAATCAATCAACAAACAGCAAGCGCTGGTGAGGATATGGAGAAAAGGAAACCCTACTGCACTGTTGGTGGGATTTAAGTTGGTGCAGCCACTATGGAAAGCAGTATGGAGGTTCTTTAAAAAAAATTAAATACAACTACCTTATGTCCCAGCAATTACACTTCCGGGTATTTACCCAAAGAAACCCAAAATACTAATCCAAAGAAATATATGTACCGTTATATTCATTGCAGAATTGTTTACAATAGCCAAGATTTGAAAGCAGTCCAACTGTACATCAGTAGGTGAGTGGATAAAAAAGCTGTGATATATTCACACAATGGAATACTACTCGGCTGTAAATAAAAGAAGGAAATCTTACCTTTTGTGGCAACATGGATGGACATAGAGACTATTATGCTGAGTGAAACAAGTCAGACAGAGAAAGGCAAATACCATGTGATTTCACATATATGTTGGAATCTAAAAGAAAAAAAATTAAATGAACAAACAAAACAGAAATAGACAGATACAGAGAACAGACTGATGGTTGCCATGTGGGAGGGGGTTAGGGGCTGGGTGAAAAAGGTGAAAGAATTAGGAAGTACAAATTG